TATTTTCGTGTGAAAATTCTCGATTTTATTATTTATATAATATTTAACTTTATAATGCTATAACTTATTGAAAAGTTTATGGATCCACACAATTTTTTTATGAGAAATAATATTTTTTAATAAACCCTTTTTCATTTACCATACTTTATCTTTATCGAGATATTAATAAGGAACCAGCAGATCGAGTAGCTTTTGGAATAAAACACCAATTTTTTTTAAATTAAGCACTATCTAAAGATTTGCATCGAAGCGTTTATTTTTGATAGTGATTTTAATCACTGTCAGATATCATTATACTTAATCCAACTATGCCACGTCACCACTGTGCCGCGACCCCCCTGTGCTGGGTTTGGTTTTTTTGTTTCGTGTTTAAGTTTTTTAAAATCATTATCTTTTACATCAAAAGTTAGACGGGTAGTTATAATGGGATTTTAAAAGTATCTAATAATTCCAGAAATATACTTTATTTTAATTTTAAATACAGTATTTATTTTTTATTTTTAAAAACATTATCCACTGCATATAGAGAAGTTTTATTTAAGGAACTATATTACATTTAAATTTTCGACTGCACCTGTAATAATTGCTTTGAACACAGATTAGAATTAATAAATATTGATGATTTAGCTATACTTTGAAAATATAAAACATGAGCAAAAACATAACCTTTTAATGAGATATAAACATGAGACTTAAAAAGGATTTGCGAATCACCACTGACAGATATTAAATTGACAATAGATTAAATACGATAATATTATTGTGTATTTTTCAAAATTACTTATAGCCCAATTTCTACTATAACTATATATGTATATAGTGATATTTTATTCGATACATGAATAAATATAAATCTTCATCGAAAAAATTATCAATCAAATCTAAAATAAATTTTTTATTTTTCATAATTTTAAATAGAATTTATTTAAATGTATAATCTTATATCAAGCTAAAATTGTATTCTATTATTATTTATTATATTTAATATAAATTAATTGCTTCATAAAAAAATTATATTTTAAGAGTATTAATGTTTATTAAAGCTCTATTAGAAATATCCTAATATAGGATAGTAATCTAAGAAGTGTGTTCAGAAAATAACGGGAATTTTCGTTTATTGTAAAATATATTTGTCTATTCAACTACATTAATGTTGTTGCCTTCAATAAAGTCCTCTTAAGTTATTATGCACTTGTGTTAACACTTCTTCCAATCTTCGAAACACTTCTCAAACTTGATCTTTGGGATTCACTTTAACTCATTCAGCGATGCGCTTTTAATTTCATCTATGCTTGTAAAACGACGGCTCTATAAGGATCTCTTTATTTTTGGAAATAGAAAAAAGTCATACAGATCCATGTCTGGCGAATATGGAGGCTGGAGCATCGTTACAGTATTGTTTTTGACCAAAAATTCACGAACGAGTAATAAAGTGTGAGCACGTTTTTTTCGGATTTCTTCACGTTTATTATGATTTTTTTTTTATTTGTTAATAATTGGATTCTCCAAACGAAATTTAAAAATTCCCGTTATTTTTTTAATACACCTTGTACACACAAACACAAACACACACACATATATATATATATACATTTATAAATTAATATGTAAAAAAATCGAATTTGTTTTAATATTAAGATTTCAAAAATGATGAAANTAAAAAAATCGAATTTGTTTTAATATTAAGATTTCAAAAATGATGAAAACATGTCCATGGATTTGTATTGTTTTCCATATCATATTATCTTTCAACCTACCAACAAATGGAGAAAATATTCTTGTTTTTGCACCATTGCCCATTAAAAGCCATTTTGGTGGTTTTCAAGCTCTTTTCCGAGAATTGGCTTTTAGAGGTTATAATGTCACTGTCATAAGTTTTTTTCCACTTGATAAGCCTATTAAAAATTATAATGAAATCGTTATACCATTCAATAAATCATTCGAAACAAGTAAATATTAGATTTTATAATCTCAATATCATTTTAAAATGGATTTTACTTAATAAAATTTTAAAACCTGATTTTCAGCAATTCCACCAATGATTATGACTGGAAGACATTTTTTAACTGTCATACCGTTATCGTGGTATTTTACAGTTAAAAGAGCTTATAATGTTCTTTCAAGTACAGTTCTTCAAGAGTTTATTCAAAATGATGATTCTAAATTTGATTTAGTGTTAGTATTTACATTTGGCCAATCATATTGCGTGACATTAGGTCACAAATATAACGCACCTATTATAAATTTAAATGTTTTGATGCTATGGCAAAGCAATTCTAAATGGATAGGTGAGCCTTCAACGTACTCTTACATACCTGATGCTAGAGCAGGTGTAACCCCAAAAATGTCGTTTACTGAAAGAATAAAAAATAGCATAATAGGCTTTTTGCAACTCTATCCCGAAGATTTTATACATTTACCAAAGTATAAAGATATAATGGATACTTTCTTCAAATATCCTGGTTGGGAAACTAGACCTTCAATGGAGGATATGTTGAAAAATGTTTCTTTAACTTTAGTTAATGCTCATTTCAGTGTCGGGATAACGAGGCCATATTTACCTGGAACCGTCGAAGTTGGAGGACTTCATATTAAAGAGGCAAAGCAACTGTCTGGAGTAAGTCCTAAATTGACGAAATATTTAGTTAATTAAATATCTACCTTTCAAAACTAATGAATGTACTGAAATTTTTTATCAGAAATTTTTAGAATTCATTGAGTCTGCAGAGCACGGAGTGATATACTTTAGTTTTGGTACAATAGTAAATCCCGTATTACTTCCCAAAGAAAAAATACAAGTTTTTGTCAACGTATTTAAGAAACTCAAACAAAAGATTATGTGGAAATGGAAAGGAGAAATACCTTTTAACCTGTCAGATAATGTGATGCTAAGGGAATGGTATCCACAAGAAGATATTTTAGGTAGTATTAAATTTAAAGTATAACTTGTGTTGAGGTCGAAGAAATCCGAGAAAATAATAATTTTTTCAATCAGGTCATACAAACATAAAATTATTTATTACCCATGGAGGTTTACACAGTCTTGAAGAAGCATCATATAATGCCAAACCTCTCATTGGTATACCATTTTTTGGTGACCAACATATGAACATGCGAATTGTAGAAGAAAAAGGTTTTGGTAAAATGATTGATATACAAACAATTAACGAAGAGTCTCTTCTGTCTTCCATAATTGAAGTTCTTGAGAATCCCAAGTATGAATTGAATATGTACATAAATTATATTAGTATATATATATTACAATGTATTCATTTTTGATAATACTTATGCATTGACGTCCATCAATTATATTTTTCTTATTATTTTTTTTTAAATGAATTATTATTAGTTTTTAGAAGAAAAATGTTAAAAAATGTTTAGCCCTAATAGATTTCTGATATATTAATATGAAATAAATAAATTAAACAACTTTTTTAGATTCAAAGAGAACTCTATTCGACAAAGTTCATTATACAAAGATCAAGAAATGAAACCTATTGATCGAGCAGTTTATTGGGTAGAGTATGTAATTCGTCATAAAGGCGCTAGTCATTTGAAAAGTAAAAGTGTCGAATTAAATTCAATTCAGTATTTTCTTATAGATATATTAGTAGTTTTCTTAATTAGTGTAGCAATTATTTTAGTGACTATATATATAGTTTTTATAACTTTAAAATATACATTTATTTTTAAAACAAAAAATGACTAAACCAGAAATGTTTTATGTGTACAATTATGATAAATAATGTCTTCTCTAGTGATAAATAAGTATAATATAATCAAATCAAATAGTATAATATAATCAATCAAAAAGCATGTAAGTTATTGTATTTATTTAAACAATAATTGTTATAAAATTATATAAATAAAAATTATTTTTATAACCATTTTATTCTCATATTAATAATTGGACTCTTATTATTATACAATGTTATACATGTACATCTTATTTAAAATTTATTTTATTTATACGACTTACTTGAAATTTGCTTTATATTTTCGAATAAGTCACTTATCTTCTATGCTATGTCAAGTAACATTTTTTTAGTGTTTATTGTTAGCGAATATTTTAATACTTGTTGAGTTAACTCTAATTTTTAACTATAAATTTAAAATAATTGTAATATAGTTCAGTTAAAATAAACTACAATGACAATATTCAATAAACATCATACTCACAAATGACATTAAAAACATAAAAATTCTATAGAATTTGTGACGTGACAAAAAGTATCTGTTTATTTTTTTTGTCTATTTGTATATATATATATATATATATATATATTTGTGTTCTGAATTATCTTGGTTGAGTCGAATGCGTACTGCGACGGCGTTTATCAGTTAAATAATCATGATATGGTGTTGTGATTTGCTTGAGCGCGTGCGAGATAGTCAGCTGTGTACTACTTCGGACCGGTTCATGGACGGCATTTGTGTGTACATTCACATTGTCGCCTATTGACATGTGATGATTCAAACTTTTCTTAATAATTTCCGGCACTGAGTAGTAAAATTTGTTGACCTCTACTCTAAAGGCTAGCTGTGTTGTCGCCAACGGTCCGCCGGGTCAAACGACGGAAGTTTTGGGAAATAGCCATAGTCGGAACTGGTCGTACTATTTCCCGTCCGTAGCGGAGTTATTTTTTTTGTTGTGTGAGCTGCAACATAATGGTTGTTTATATATGTTTTTTCGTAAGTGTCCCCTACTATAAATATAATGTAATTTCATTTCAATATATTTTTACAGTAATTTTTTCGTTTATTGGCGTCGGCTAAACCTATCTCCTGTTTCGTTAGCCCTTCGGGGCTGATAATGTATATTTTTGTTTGTAACGTTTATGAGCCATATATTTTTTTTTGTGCGCCGTGCCTTAAGCAAGCGTGGCGAATTTTTTTTTAGATGCCCCTATTTTTTTTATTTAGGTCCCTGAACATGGCAGGCGTGTTACAAGACCACCTGGCATGTTATATATATTTTTTTGTATATAGGTTTTATATGATATGATATTGGGTGATGCGTATATATCATTAGTACAATGTGGTGACGTAGTGCATTTTATTCCGGAGTGTCCCAACGTCTTGCAAGCTAAGTCTAACTACTTAAAACCAGTCGCTTACTTGGGGCGTATACCCACCGTGGTTAGCGGAAATGACACGATTCATAGCCGGTGGGTGTAGGTGTAACTATTTTTATTATTAATATTTGTTTTTTTCTCTCTCTCTGTTCCCCTTTAATTTGTAGACGAGGTTTTTTGACCGTTCGGTTTTTTGTCTCGTATTAACTTAATTTTTTTTTTAATAAAGTCCCCTCAATTTAACTCAACTATTATCTTATTTTTTTGCGTATTCCATCTTAAATGGACTCGCGTATTTTTTTTTTACCTTTTTTCCTTTAAAAAATCAACTCCCCCTAGTTTATAAGTTACGGGCAACGGCCTTGTATAAGGTCATCCCTGATCATTATGGTTATATGACAACTGTCAAGAGGTTTTGGTGTACATCTACTATCAACGACTCAACGGACATCAACTTCAATCTTTATTACTTTTCTATTTTTATTTTTTATCTTAAATTGTTTTTAATGTACAAAATTTAATTTATTTTTAAAATCCTACTGTGGTCCGACAATACATTGTCTCGCCCAGTGGGTTGGCGACCCTTCCTTTGTGAATTTTTCAATGCGCCATGAAAGTTACAAATTTTTCGTTGTGGCCAATTAATGCAATTTTTCTTATATTTGTAACCTTTCAAATTTGATATAGTGTGATAAAATAAATAAAGTTTATAATTAAATTTTTTAAATAAAAATTTATTAAGTCATAAATTTTAATAAAGAAAATTGCCATTAAAAACTTTGTTTCATCAATTATAATTGCAATTTTGTAATTAGCTAAACGCGCTCTTGATCTATTGATTTCTAAACCAATCTCCTAAGCAATGTAGACAATAATTGTTTACATTGTTATAACATTTTTTATAACAATGATTGTTTAAACTGTTAATAATAATTATCACCAATTTAAAGAAAAATGCCACTTACAGTTTTATTCATACAGATACACGCATCGTACCTCCAATGACTGGAGCTCATCTGACTTTTCATAAAAATAACCACAAAAATGACATTGCCACTAATGAATACTACTAATATGTAATACTCAAACTGTATGAGAAATAGCTCAAGTGAATTTAATCTAAAATAGCCAAATCATTAATAACTAAAAACGATGATTATTCTTTCTGACGATCAACAATTCTTTTGATTGTTAATCTATCATTTAGAACTATAAAATTCCAGTTCGAGAACTAAAACACATAAAAATAGCCAAATATCTCTTTACAACTGACTGAGCTACTGCAGTCACTCTAACTTTTCCCATGCGTATGCAGACTATTTTCCTAAATAAATAAATTCCTAAAATCTGTTGTGGCTCTAAAACGTAGATATTAAGTATAATGGTAGATAAATATGTGTACAATTAAAAAATGTAGACAAAAAGTTTAAATTATCCATTAATAGTTTACAAAAATGATTAAATTTAGTACTATAAATCAGTAGCGTAGTCAAGAATGGCATGAATGTTACTACAAACAGTGTATGAATTAAGCACTGGGTGTATATGAAGCAAAAAAAAAATCATAGGTCTCTAAGAAAAAATCCTGTCTACATCACTGATATAAATTATATTTTTTCATAATATTACAGATAAATTTAAAGACAATTTAATGTACGTATATTTATAATTTATAGATTTTGAAACGATTTTTACATGAATATCATAAGATATATTTACAGTAAAAATTGTGAAAATCTGTATTTTATAGAAGAAAATTTGTCTAAAAAGTAAAATTTTCAGTTACTCTACAGAATAAAATATTGAATATATGATTGTAAGAAATCTTTCTTGTATAATGATACATAATTTTATATAAAAATAAAACATTTTATAGTTTTAAAAANATTTCTGACGATCAACAATTCTTTTGATTTTTAATCTATCATTTATAACTATATAATTCCAGTTCGAGAACTAAAACGCACAAAAATAGCCACGCATCCTTTTATAACTGACTGAGCTACTGCAGTCACTCTAATTTTTCCCTTACGTATGCCGACTATTTTCCTAACAAAAATAAATTTCTAAAATCTGTTGTGACTTTAAAACATAGGATATTAAGTATAATGGTAGATAAATATGTGTACAATTAAAAAATGTAGACAAAAAGTTTAAATTATCCATTAATAGTTTACAAAAATGATTCAATTTAATACTATAAATCAGTAGCGTAGTCAAGAATGGCATGAATGTTACGACAAACGGTGTATGACTTAAGCACTGGGTGTATATGTTGCATAAAGAAATTCAAAGGTCTCTAAGAAAAATTCCTGTCTACATCACTGATATAAATTATATTTTTTTATAATATTACAGATAAATTTAAAGACAATGTAATGTACGTATATTTATAATTTATAGATTTTGAAACGATTTTTACATTAATATCATTAGATATATTTGCAGTAAAAATTGTGAAAATCTGTATTTTATAGAAGAAAATTTGTCTAAAATGTAAAATTTTCAGTTACTCTACAGAATAAAATTTTGAATATATGATTGTAAGAAATCTTTCTTGTATAATGATACATAATTTTATATAAAAATAAAACATTTTATAGTTTTAAAAAATATACCATGACGTGTTATAATTATGACCGAGAAAATCACACAAGATTAATTTTTATTAATTATGACTTCTTTTATTGAGATATGAAAATAATAAAATTACTATTGATAATGTATTNAAATATACCATGACATGTTATAATTATGACCGAGAAAATCACACAAGATTAATTTTTATTAATTATGACTTCTTTTATTGAGATATGAAAATAATAAAAATACTATTGATAATGTATTGTAAGAACAGCAAGTTTGATTATTCCTCCAAAAACTTGATTCAGGCGGAGCCTGACATTAGGATATTGTATCTCAAATAAACTGTGTATTTGCACCTTCATCATGCTCTAAAATATATTTTNGTGTATATGTTGCATAAAGAAATTCAAAGGTCTCTAAGAAAAATTCCTGTCTACATCACTGATATAAATTATATTTTTTTATAATATTACAGATAAATTTAAAGACAATGTAATGTACGTATATTTATAATTTATAGATTTTGAAACGATTTTTACATTAATATCATTAGATATATTTGCAGTAAAAATTGTGAAAATCTGTATTTTATAGAAGAAAATTTGTCTAAAATGTAAAATTTTCAGTTACTCTACAGAATAAAATTTTGAATATATGATTGTAAGAAATCTTTCTTGTATAATGATACATAATTTTATATAAAAATAAAACATTTTATAGTTTTAAAAAATATACCATGACATGTTATAATTATGACCGAGAAAATCACACAAGATTAATTTTTATTAATTATGACTTCTTTTATTGAGATATGAAAATAATAAAAATACTATTGATAATGTATTGTAAGAACAGCAAGTTTGAGTATTCCTCCAAAAACTTGATTCAGGCGGAGCCTGACATTAGGATATTGTATCTCAAATAAACTGTGTATTTGCACCTTCATCATGCTCTAAAATATATTTTAGTAGATTTCATAATGTCTTGNTAAAAAAATTACAAATTTAAAAACCGCTAATTTTCGAAATTTTTTCAATTTTTTTTACTGAAACTGTCATAACTTTTTCAAAAATGAACAAATCAATATAATTTTTTTTTATAGATGCTTGATGTCTTTACCTATCATTTGGTATATTTTTTTTATAATTTTAACTCTTTACCAGCCCACAGGGGGGTTTCAAAATGACAACTTTTCCACAATAAATTAACTTTTTCAGCTTAATTTTTGAAAGTGTTCCAGAAATACTGACACTTTTATATATAACTTAAATTTAAGCAAATGTAATATACTTTATTATAGATANATGATACTTTTATATATATCTTAAATTAAAGCTAATGTAATATACTTTATTACGGAAAAAAAAATGTAAGACTTTATTTTGTCTTCACGGTGAAAATGGCTACCGTATGCTATTTTTGTGTTAAAATTCTCGATTTTATTTTTCAAATTTTTAACTTTAAAATGTTATAACTTTTTGAAAAATGTATGGATCAATACAATTTTTTTATAAGAAATGGTATTTATATACTTCTTTCATTCGACATACTTTGTTTTTAATTAGGATCATTTCCCTTAATACAGGGGGGGTTCAAAACATAAAAATGCATATAGAAAGTAGAACTTTTTCAACTTAACTTTTAAAAGTGTTCCGGAAATACTGATACTTTTATATATATCTTAAATTAAAGCTAATGTAATGTACTTTATTATGGAAAAAAAATTTTCAGACTTTATTTTGTCTTTACGGTGAAAATGGCTATCAAATGCTATTTTTGTGTGAAAATTCACGATTTTATTTTTTACATTTTTAACTTTATAATGCTATAACTTATTGAAAAGTGTATGGATCAACACAATTTTTTTATGAGAAATAACATTTTTTAATAATCCATTTTTCATTCGACATACTTTATCTTAATCAGAATATTAATAAGAAACTAGCAGATCATGTAGCTTTTGGAATAATCCAGCAATTTTTTAAAATTAAACACTATCTAAAGATTTGCAGCGAAGCGTTTTTTTTTATAGTGATTTTAATCACTGTCAGATATCATTATAAATAGTTTTCTTAATAACAATTGTATAGTTAATGTAACTGTGCTAAATAAAATAAACATAGTATAATTTTAATCAAATTCAACAAACCTTTAATAACTACGTTAACATAAAATATGTAATGTAATAATTAGTGGGATATTAATGAACAATTCTGTGTTATCTAAAGTGGAAGTAAATAAAAACGGATTATAAGTCTATTTAAAAAAATTATACATGGTGATACGTTTATTACATAACACACTCAAATAAATATAATATTAAAGAAAACATTTTTGTAATTATAGTTACATAAAATTTCTTGATTTATCATTTATTAATTATTTTTTAACACTATTTCTTATAAACTTTAGAGGTGTCAACATAATATTTTTAAATGGTATCATACATATTTTATTAATTTATAAAATTGGAAATTATAGAATTAAAAAAGTGGTAGATACTTTCAAACCTGTACTTTGAAAGTCAGTAACATTTTTGTACGTGGTCGGCAGGAAATTACATCTAATTATATAAATAGTCATATCCGCACCTTTCCTTCATTCTGCATTTTGAAACTATAGAAATATTGGTCCATAAGTTACAAGCAAACAGTAATTTTCTTAATATTTTCCTATTTTATAAGTTAGTTAAATAAGCATGTTGCCATTTAAAGTTGACACCTCTTTAAGCTATGAGGAATGAAGCTAAAAAGTAATTAATGACTGATAAATAAAAAAATATATGTAACCAAAAAATAATAATTTTTTTTTGCTGTATTGTACTTATTTTTTTAAGTAATTGAGTGGTTTATGATAAACGGATCATACTGTATTATGTTAACTTTCATTTAAAATTATATCTACTAAATACAAATAACAATTACTATAGAATGAGCAGTTCAAAATTTAGTTTAAATTTTTTTAGAGTTGTATCAAAACATTAAACATGCAGTGTAATAAAACGTTATGTTTATTAACAGGTAATTCCTTTAGATTTTAAATAAAATGATGTTGAAATTCTATTATTTTATTTTATTTGTTCTGTAAATATTGTAAAATATATTTAATAAGTTTTTTTTTTATAGATTAGATATCAAATTAAATTTATTATTACTAGCGTTTAACAAAATCATTATAATAAAATAAATCTATATTTTTTTTAAATTTTTTAAGAACTTTAATTTATTACTAAATTAATACTCAGTATAGTCATAATAACATAGTACTTAAGTCATTATTAACTATAAAACATTTATTTTATTGTAACAATTCTAATATAGAAGGCGTGCTATAAAATAAGGATATAAACAAATTTTAATAAAGTTATACTTGTTTCTTATACTATCTAGTAATTATCTAATAAATATTAACTTGTAACTGTCGTCTTTTGAATTAATGATCATATAGAAGTTTAATGGATTAAAGTTTCTAAGAAACAAACAAAAAAATTAATTCAATATTCTCAAAGATCTATTTAATTCTTTAATAAAATAGGTCACTATACAAAAATGTTGAAAGAAATAATACGAAAAAAAATAATAAAAGATTTAAAAGTTTTAGTCATTAGAAATGAATGTTGAAGGAAGAAGAGGTAGAGGACGACCAAAAAAGAGATGGAGGGATGATAATGAATCCGATATGAGAATAGCTGATGTGAGCGTAGATGATGTGGGAGATCATGCGAAGTGGAAATTTAGGATATGGGTTGTTGACCTTAAGTAGTGGGATTTAGGCGAGGAAGGAGAAAAAGAAGAAGATTTAAAAGTTTTAGTCATCAAGATTTAAGTTACTGAGGGTACACTAAACTTTTGTATAATTAATTATATAAAATGATAACAACGTTTATACATTTATATTATACAAAATTATAATTTTTATATTTTTTTAATAGTTGATTTTAGATCTTACAATAAAAAAATTGTATCTCAGTTGGGTGAAAATGTTAAAAGTAGTTTGTGTCACATTACCTTATCATGCTTATATATGATGTAATAGTGCGATTTCTATAAAGATATGCATTATAGCGGTTAGTTTTAGTTAGACCGGCATTATCTAGTGTACCTTAAATACGAATTATATTGTTATTTAGTAAATCGTATTACTTAAACATATTTATTTATCATAAACCAAGTAAATTACAATGATAAAAGAAAAATAAATAAATTAATAAATTTTCATTTAACTTTTTATTTTGTTATAGAAAAAAAATTCACATAATTGAATTTATCTTAAGTATATACTTTTNTAAGTAAATTACAATGATAAAAGAAAAATAAATTAATTAATAAATTTTCATTTAACTTTTTATTTTGTTATAGAAAAAAAATTCACATAATTGAATTTATCTTAAGTATATACTTTTAATGATGACCAGTAAAACTCAATGGATTTTAAGTACTATTTATGTTTTACTTGCTGCGAATACAATGTCAAAAGCAGCAAATATTCTAGTATTTGCACCAATGCCCTTCAAAAGTCATTTTGGAGGATTTCAACCACTTTTTCAAGAACTGGCTCACCGAGGACATAATGTTACCGTAGTTAGTGCATTTCCATTGAAAAAACCCATTGAAAACTATACTGATATCGTTGTAGGCATCGACAAAACGTTTGCACAGGGTAACTACATAACCTTTTATCAAAATATGTCATAAGTAAAAATATAGTTTTTATTTTTCATTTATTTAAATTAACATGTTTCAACAAATTAATGTTTTTACAATTATGCATCTAAAATTACTTTTTTTTCAAATTTTCCTTTGTATATACAATGAAAAAAAGTCTTGTCTTAATATTAGTATTGTTATTATTAGTTTTAATTACTGTTACCTTAAGAACAACTGAACTTTTGGATGCATTCATAAATCAAATATTTTTGAAAGATAACACGTAGGAAAGCTAATATTTTATTGACAGGGAAAATGTTTAGTTATTATCAGTCTAGATTAATATACCAACTAGAATAATGCAATAGTTGTTAATTGAAAAAACCCATTGAAAACTATACTGATATTATTATTGATTGCCAAATTCAAGACTCAGGAGGTTAATATAATATTAATTATATATATAATTAAAAATGTTTATAAAAATTTGTTAAAAACAATAAATAATAAGGTACAGCTGATTTTAGGCTGATGCCAGTAGCTGCAAATCGGCACTCTCAAGCAGCCGCTAGATGTACTGTCATATTGAGCAAACGAGAATATAACTGGTGAATGGTAGATGATAATATTAAAATCATTTAGCATACGCTAGTTACTAGGCATACAGGTTTACTATGCGATTGGCTTACGTCAATATCACATGACTTATTAATTACTGCTGTGTGTCATTAAAATATTAGTTTTCATCAGTAAGTCGCTAATTATCAATTAAAGTGGTAATCTCTCTGGTGAATTTTGTGGTTATACTAGTCTTATCAATGGCCTATAGTAACGAATTTACAATTCACAGCTGGCATCGACTGAATTTAATCTATCCTTAAATTATAACGCTATAATTTTTACATATTTATTTTTTGTAAAGTTAAATGTTTTCTACCAGCGTCTTTTTGTATTTTTTTCTTTAGAAATATCACCAATGAATTACGCTAACATGAATTTTGTAAAAAGAATACATCTTATTAGAAACGCGATTTCAAAAATCGCTCATAATATGTTTCAAAAAAATGTTCTTCAAGAATTTATTCGATCTGATAATTTAAAGTTTGATGTTATTTTTGTATTTGCTTTCAACCAGCCATGTAGCGTAACCTTAGGTCACAAATATAATGCTCCAGTAATTAGTTTAATGCCTCTAAAGTTATCGCAAAGCAGTACGAAATGGATAGGTGAGCCTTCCACATACTCCTACATACCAGATGCAAGAATAAGTGCAACCGACCAAATGTCATTTGTTGAAAGGATTAAGAATAGTCTCATAGGATTTGTACAACTTTTTATCGAAGATTATTATATTCTTTCTGATCATAAAAAGATATTAGATTCATACTTTAGGTACAATGGTTGGGAGAATAGACCTTCTTTGGAGGATATGTTGAAAAACGTTTCGTTAACTTTAGTCAATGGTCATTACAGTGTTGGACTAACAAGACCTTATTTACCAGGAACCGTTGAAGTAGGAGGTCTTCATATAAAGTTGCCAAAGCCATTAATCGGAGTAAGGGTGAAATATTCTTAAAATGAATAGTTTACTTTTTATATGAATCAATTACAAGAATAAAATTTGTTTTTATTATCCTCTTGAACATTTAACTTTTTAACTACGTAATGTACTTCTTTTTGTAAATAAATATTATCGTTTAATTAAAAACGTAATTTAGAATTTTTCTTTGTAAATTTTAGTGTAATATTTATTATAGAAGTTTTTAAAGTTCATTGAATCTGCTGAGCACGGGGTGATATACTTCAGTTTTGGTACAATTGTAAATCCTACATTGCTTCCAAAAGATAAAATACAAATGTTTGTTAACGTGTTTCATAAACTCAAACAAAAAGTTTTATGGAAATGGAACACTGAAACACCTTTTAACCTATCGAAAAATGTTATGATAAGTGATTGGTTTCCGCAGACAGATATTTTAGGTGAGTAAAACATTAGTTATTAAGGAGAAAAGCTCTGGATAAATTTTTTTTTTTTATTTAGGCCATCCAAATGTAAAATTGTTTATCACACATGGTGGACTACATAGTTTTGAAGAAGCATCATTTAATGCTAAACCACTCATTGGTATACCATTTTTCGGTGACCAACTTATGAACATACGAATTGTAGAAGAAAAGGGTTTCGGTAAAATGATTGATATTTTTTCTGTTAACGAAGAAACTTTATTGTCTTCAATAAATGAAGTTATCGAAAATCCAAAGTGCGTAGACTTGTTTTTTAAATATGATGTGATTTTTTACCAAATAAAATAAATATATAAAAAAATATAAATATGTAATATTATTACACTATTTTTATATTAAATATTGTTCTTTTATTTTCTAGATATAAAGAAAATTCTATTCGGCAAAGTCTGTTGTACAAAGATCAGGATATGAAACCTATAGAACGAGCATTGTATTGGGTCAACTATATTCTTCGTCATAATGATACAAGTCATTTGAAAAGTCTTATTATAGGGTTGAATTTATTTGAATATTTTTTAATTGATGTTACTATAGTTTTTTGTATTTGTATGGTAACTATTGCATTTTTTTTTTTCGAATTATTGAATTTTTTTTTTAAATTTAAATGTAAAGTTAAATCTACATAATTTTTTTTAAGTATTAAACATTATGTTCTTAATAGTAATAAAGGTATTTATTATTTTACTACATNTTCTTAATAGTAATAAAGGTATTTATTATTTTACTACATATATTGTTTTCACAAAAAAAAAAGTATGTAACTGTAACTAGATAAACTTTGACCAAAAGTAGAATATGGGAAATAATATCTTAACAAAATAAAGAAATTTTTATTTCCATTCTCCTCGTGAGCGTTTTTTTTCAGCAATTTTTAAATAAAAACATATGGAAAAAAACGGTAGCACAGTGGGGTCGAGGCACAGTATAGACGTGGCATAGATGAGATAAGTATAGATGATATCTGACAGT